AGCAAAGCGAATGTTTTCAGCTCTTACCTCAGCCCCCTCTGCAGCCCCTTTCTGGGGGGCGGGGGAGTGCTGGCGGTGGAGGGGTGTGGACAGAGTTGGGAGTGTGTGGGGAGGGACCAGGGAAGCCCTGGAGGGGAAATTGAACTGTGATTTGTGGCTGGAACAGCGGAACAGCAGTAGCACCTGGAGTTTCGATGTTTGAAAGTGGCGCCCAGCACAGCATCGCTGTGGGTTGAGGCGTGATGGTGTATTAATGCATCTGGATATGTACCTGTCATGGCAGTGCGCTGACGATGCTTGGCTCGGCGGCCGGGAATGTACCAGCGCCAGGACGACTGTGCGAGGCAGCCGTCCCATTCCGGAACAGACCCGAGTTTTCAAACGCACTTTCCCAGACTTTGCCAGGTCCTGCCCCAGGTCCCCAGCCCTCCTGCCCTGGTCTCTGCAGCCACACGGAGTGCAAATGCTGCCTTCTACTACCCGGACTTCAGATGGCGAGGGTCCTGGAGTAGCTGCTCCCTTTAGAGCTGCTCTAGGGACTCCTCTTGTCAGAGGCCTGTCCTCTGGGCACACTATCCCCGCTGCCCCAGTGCACTCCGCGGTCTCCAGCCTCACAGGGAGCCTCTTCCCTACACGGATGGCCACTGTTCTCTCAGGCAGGGCCCTCCATAACCTCTCTCGGCTCTAAGTCATTATCCCCCATTCTTTTTAAAATTATATATATTTATTTATGTGTTTATTTATTTTCCTCAGCGAAGGGTGTTTTTTTTTCATTGCTTTTCAGAGAGAGTGTAAGGGAGGTAGTGGGGAGAGAGAGAGAAACATCCATGTGAGAGAGACATCAATTGGTTGTCTCTCACATGTGCCCTGACAAGGGGTGGGGAGTGAACCCGCAACCCAGGTTCATGCCCTTGACGGGGAATCGAACCTGAAACCCTTCAGTGCCCAATCTGACACTCTAATCACTGGTCCGCACCGGCCAGGCCTGTCTCCTATTCTTGACTCCTACGTTGTCCCTTTGGCCATGAACTCATTGATAAAGTGGACTGATGTCTAGCTGCACTTGAGAAAGGGTTTGTAAAAAGCTTTTCCCCAAACAGTTGGTCCCGGTGAAGTGTTGCAGCATTGGTTTGGCCAGTTCGGTTGGGATGGTTTTGAAGCGTGATTCTGGTGACCGGTGTGTGTCAAAGCTGGGTAACCTTGACGAGCCGTGCCTTCTGTGTCCTTCAGTGATTGACGGAAGGGCCGAACACGACAGGGCCACGTGCAGGTACCGCTGCCGCCGTTCCTAGTCCGTAATCATCACCGATGCTTCATGCCCAGCCTCCTCAGCGACTGCCAGGAAGGGGTCCTGAGCTGGCCCGGGTGCATGAGGCCAGTCCTGATACATCGCCCACCTCTCCTCGACCAGGTCTCCTGCTGGGCCCCGCACTCTCGCCACACGCGCTGCTACTGCGCTTCTTCTCCCCGCGTGCCCATGACTAACTGCCTCACTCGCTTCAGATCATTGCTTAAAATCACCTTTTCAAAAACCTGCCTGGCCTCCCCCCACCCCCACCAGACATTCCCATCTCCTTGTCCTGAGTTTTCTCCCAGCACTGACCCCCTTGTAACAGACTCCAGCAGTTACTCATATCTTCGCCATCAGACTCCTCCTGTCAGCACAGGTTTTATGACTTTTCAAGGAGGCGAGTAAATTGCTCAGATTCTTACACACTCAATATTGTTCATGGTGATTTCCTAACTCCCTCCTCATTCTCCTGTTTCTCTCTAGGCCAGTGGTCGGCAAACTGCGGCTCGAGAGCCACATGCGGCTCTTTGGCCCCTTGAGTGTGGCTCTTCCTAAGCTTAGGAGTACCGTAATTAGGTTAATAACAACGTACCTACCTATATAGTTTAAGTTTAAAAAATTTGGCTCTCAAAAGAAATTTCAATCGTTGTACTGTTGATATTTGGCTCTGTTGACTAATGAGTTTGCCGATCACTGCTCTAGGTACTTGTCCCTTCTGCTCTCTTATTGAAATTAAAATACGCTGTCTGAATGTTTTTATTATATTGTAGGTACTCTGTGTATGAGAGGGAGAGAGAGGAGAGAGAATAAACGCATTTAAGGCTAAGTGGGCATGATTATAATAATCACTTATTATGACCTCATTTGTGGAAGTGCTTTATATGAATTATTTCCTTTAATTCCCAGTCAGCTTTATGGCGGTTGGCATTTTTATTACACCGTTGGCAGATGAAGGACCTGAGTGGTGGAGTGGCCTACGTCACTGTCCCCAAACCACAGGACGAGCGGGTGACAGAGGCAGGACTGGAGCTCGTGGGTCCGCATCCCAGAGCTCACGCTCTGAACCGCACTCAGGCCGGGGCCCGGGGGTGGCCCTGCGTGTGTGTCCTGCGGTGGCCTCCTTCCCACCGGAGGTCCCCATGGCGTCTGTGTCGGGCGTGTATGCTCAGTCTACCCACCGTCTCCCGTTGGCCGGGCACCGATACATTTCTGAGCATTTCAGTGTGTGGACTTGGCTTCAGTCATGTTAGCATTGGGATTGGAGGATGCAGGGGAGGGAGGATGAGTTCCTAATATCTATCTGTGAGTTTTCTTCTCCCAAATCAGGCACCTTTGCCCTCTGTCGCTGTCTGCTCCCCATGTTTAAGGCGCAGGAACTTCTACTGTGGTCGGGACAGGCATGGACCCACACCGGGCATGTTGCCTTAGCGGCTAGACCAGTGGTCGGCAAACAGCGGCTCACGAGCCACATGCGGCTCTTTGGCCCCTTGAGTGTGGCTCTTCCACAAAATACCATGTGCGGGCGCGCACGTACAGTGCAAAGTTGACTTAAAACTTTAAGTAAAGTTTATTGAGTTAATTTTAGGGAATGTTGTGGAGTGAAAGAAGATGTAGTGTCAAGGATTGAGAAAGGTATGTTGAGATGGTTTGGACATATACAGAGGATGAACGAAAGGAGATAGATGAAACAAGTATATAAGACGTGTGAATGGGAGAGTTGGAAGGGGTCGACCTCAGCGAATGTACCTCAATCAGATTGAGGACGTTTTTAGCAAAGGCCAGCTTAGGAGTACCCTAATTACGTTAATAACAATCTACCTACCTATATAGTTTCAGTTTAAAAAATTTGGCTCTCAAAAGAAATTTCAATCGTTGTACCATTGATATTTGGCTCTGTTGACTAATGAGTTTGCCGACCACTGGGCTAGACCCATGGGCAGCCCGGGACGCAGTGGGTCCGGGTGGTCAGAGGGTCGCCACTTCTAACAGGCTCCCTGTGATGCTGTGCACGCTGAGCAGCCAGGGCTGAGGACAAGTGGCCACGTATCTCCAGCCCAGACCTTCTCGGCCTGGTGCGACTCCTCTGTGCACCTCTCTGCCGCTGGGCTCACTCTGGATGAGCCAGGGAGCCACCACGTGTCACAGACGAGGGACTCAAGTAAATCTGGGTCATAGTGACATTTTCGAGAAGATTTGTGCTGCCTGGAGAAGCAGTTAGTCTGGTTGGGAAAATACAGTAAAAACAACAACAAAACATCTGGTGACAGGGACACAGAAGAATCTGAGAATGTGCCCAGCGAAACCAAGCACTGGGGCTCTGCCCCTTTCCTGTTTATTTCCCAGGGATGCTCTGTCCCTGGGGTGGCACCAAGGGCTCGGGGTGTGTGGCGTTTGTTTTCCAAGCTGCGGGCTCTGACTGAATTGTCAGGCCTGCAAAAAAAAATGCTGCAAATCAACTTCTGACTAGATATTTGCTAGTAGAAACACTGCACAGTTGTTCCTCCTAGTGTATCATACAAAAGATAATTCTTTTTTGTTAAGAAATAAATGGGATGGAGGGAGGTCCTTTTATTTACCTCTGTGTGCCAAGGAGCAACGTTAGTCCTAGTCCAATACCTTTCATTTCAGCATTGACTGTTACATTGTGCATTTACAGATTTCACCAGCGATAGAAGTGTTCAGGCTTTACGTGTCTTGTTAAAAGAAAAAAGAAAAACCCATCTGATATAAGTGAGATTTATGGATTTGAAACCCATTGCATAAGCAAATAGTCGAGTGACACTGAAGTTCTCAGGGTCTTTGTGTTGTGAGTAGAGCTGTGTCAATAAGCCTAATTTATGATAAGGCCAGGTCTGTTGGTTAGATAGTAGATGTAAGTGGTCCTGGCAGAACTAGGGACTACAGCCTGAGCCTGTAGGATGACTTTTATATTATCGTGGAAATGCCGACACTGCTCTTTGACAAACTTCCATGAGTTTATATGCCACTGGGAAATTTTAGTGAGTGATATAAGCAGAATAACACCAAGTAGAACTTTATTGGGAAACTGAAACCTCAGTGACACCTTTTGTGTTGATCCAGGGTTCTCAGCTTCCACTATGCACTGAAGTCAGGTGGTAGATGTTTAAAATGCGGCTGCTCCTGCCCTCTGGTTCTCTGCCTCGCTGAGTTATTAGGTTAGGGACAAGGCCTGGGCATGAATTCGTTCTTTTCTGTTTTTTATTATATATGTATCTATCTATCTATCTATCTATCTATCTATCTATATGTAAAATTATATATATATATGTATGTATGTATGTATTTATTGATTTTAGAGAGGAAGGGAGAGGGAGAGAGAGATAGAAACATCAATGATGAGAGAATCAT